TTTGAAAACAATACACTTTTGCAAGAGAGATAGGTGTTTATGTGTGTGTGTGCGTGTGTGTGTATGTGTGTGTGAAGGAGGGTATATGGTGACTATGTTCATCTAGAATTGCTACAGTCAACATTTCCAAAGTCATATTTCATAAATTTCTAGAGACCCTTAAAGCCACTGCCTGGAGGATAAGCTGACTGTCAATCTCCCCATCACCCAAAAATTGTACAACTCCTACATCAGAAATCCAAAACCATTTTATATGTTTGCTTAGCTCTGTTTTGAAATTCTGTAGGTCAGAATGAAATGATACAATGACTATTAGTAGAAAAAGTTTCTACACATTAGTAAGCATTTTCCTTTTAATTTAGAAGGTGCAAATGACTAGTGTTCTGTCCATATTACTACATGAATTTAGGATGAGGTGACTAGTACTATATAAATTATGACCATTCCTTACTTACAATGTGTAAGTTTTTAGTCCACTAGGCTCAGCAAAAAATAGTATTCCTGGATGTTCTACAGTATATCATGTAACTTAACATTCCCTTGGTTCTTTTTCACTTTGACTTGAGCACACCAGGTTCTTATAATCCTGAATACCTACACTATAGGTCAGTCATTTCCCAATGATGCATACCAACAGAAAGAGTGCTGTTCTGCTAACTCCTAAATCCTCAACCCCATACCATGTTATGGTTTAACATTTCATGACATGATTCATTGCCATGCATCTTACTTATCTTCTTATATTTATACTGTAATAGTCTGAATAATATGTTTTTACTCTAGCCACCATTATAAATCACTGAGAATATGTATTTTTAATGGTGTTCTTCTTTAGAAGCATTTTAGTTATACAAAATGGTCTCACTGAATTTATGAATTAAGAGCTCAATAGATTGTTGGTTATGTAGAATTTATGAGCTCTGTTGAACTTTAATTTGAAGAAAGCTGACTACACAAGTCTCATCAGTTTTCAAAGTTCCATTACTGGCTTTCTCATGAACAAATCTTACCAACTTGGTTGCTATTGTTGTTGTTGTTCTTAAAAATGAAACTTTACCAGAGTGGCACCACATGAATGATTTGTTCAACAATCTTTTGTGTTCTAGATTACCCACTGAGCTATGAAAGGATAGCAACAGACAAGACTAAATCATTGCAACTGCTTAACATTTGTGGAGAAGGAAGACATTTGACAGGTAATGACATTTATTTTCCCTAACTCTCTTGTAAGAAGCAATGACTCCATTGCTTTCTGAACAACATAAGTTGCACCATCTTTAATGATATGAATATGGGGTTTCTGCTCACTATCTATCAGATGACAAGTCCTGATTACATTTTCAAGTTTCATGCTAAGGTCCTGGTGAGAAGAGCTGGACCATTTGTTGTCCATGATCCACAATGATTCCAATAGCTACAAAATAGATGGAAACATGGTTATTTATTTGACTGCTAGGCTAAATTTAATAAACTGTATTATTTTGAATAATTAACTGGATGCCAAAAATGTAAAACAAAACATGGCATAGTGTCTGCCCTCAAAACTTCACAGTCTTGTGAAAAAACTGCCCTAGATTATTACTGTTTTAAATTTTCAAAAAAAAAATGGTTTTCATTCTGACCTAAGTATTTGTAGCTTGAGTTGCTCAAGTAATAGATTAAACTAACTATTGATTATGGACAAGTGTCAAATGGATTAAATGTCAGCATCTGACATTTTTACTGCAATCGTCATTTTTGCTACATATGATTAAAGTATAAATGGATAAATGCTTTAGTGATGGAAAAACATACTTTCTTAACTATTCAAAAAGCAGTAATATTGGGTATCTCTGCCACCCCAGGGTATGGGATTGAAATTTTATTAGAAATGATGAATGATTTCTAAGCTTTTTGCCATGATCATTTCAAAATATATATAGAAGTAGATAAACATCTGAAAATGTGGATAATAGCCATCTTATATTTTTGCCAGTCCAACATCCAATCATTTTTTTGATTTTATTTTTTTTATTTAAATTGTATTTTTATATTCCCCTTACAATTACAATCCCCTTATTTTGACCCCAAGCCCTCCTTTCCCGGCCCTCCACCCCCTATAGATTGTCTCTGGTTCATAGTTGTTTGTTGATTTTGATATTTTCTTTCTTATAGTTATTTCCCATTCATTTTTTTTTTAAGCTGATGGATCCCCTTATCATTTTACTGACCACCACTTCTGCTCTCTGGCACATGTGATTCAGTTTAGGTTGTCCGTATCTCAGATTCCTAGAAGAGGAACATGATCCAGACATGGCTTCTGAGAGCACTGTACCTACCCAGTCACCATGACTATCAGGCAAGGGCATGTGATCAGGGTAGGCCAATGACACTCAATTCCCGGTCTTTTTGTGGAACTTTAAGTGGGGCTCACTTTCCACTGGAGTGCCTGAGCTGGTAGAATGCCAATCTGGAGAAAAAGCTATGCATTTTACCATGCTGAAAGGGAAGCCTACCTGAGACTAAACCAACATGAAAGAAAACAAAATGGAGAGACTGAGAGTTGGCAGTGGTTATACCTTAATCTAACCAATTTGTCTCTCTCCCTTTCTCCCCACACTTGTACTCCTCCCCAGCCACGGCTTCCTCTATTTCCTTTCTCAAGTACTATTTTTGATAAGAAATTAAAAATAGTAATACTTTATTTGTGAAACAAAACGCAAAACTGCTTTTCCTAACAGAATCATGAAAATTATATCAGTGGTTTTAACAAAGTAATAAGTTTTGTAGCATAAAGGTTTTTAGGCAAGTAAATTTTTTGTAGTGGAACTGGCAAACAGGATTTATTCACAAAATGTATGTGAATGGTTTACACTTATCAAACCCCTTTTTATTACAGACACAGTCAATCTGTAATACAGTCAATAGGGAAATTTGATTGACTTAAGCATAAAGACACACAAAAAGGTGCTAAATGATCAGTTCTGCAGATTTTTTTTGTAAAATATGCCTAAATATTTTTTTCTAGTACCATTCCACAGACAGTGGTGTAATTTACACTAATAATAGTTGTCATTTATTGTAATCAATCAAATTTTTATGTTATATAACAAAGACCCTTAGGTAAGAAATACATAGCAGCTTACATCATGATAAATGATCCTTTCTGAGGGAGTCATTGGGAAGGGGTCAGTTTGGTGACATTTCCCCACTGTGATTAATGTGACCTCTTCCTGACATATGGTCAACCAGACTCCCCCAAAACCAGGCTTTTCTACAACAGATGACAGAAGGTTACAACTCAAAGACATTAAAACATATTTATTTAATGTGTAACATCTAGGAAGCTGGAAATGACAAATGGCAGGAAGGTTTTTATATCCCGCTCACCTGAAAAGAATGTAGACTGTGATACATTTTCTTTCTTTTCACTGAGAGGCAGTCTTTGAAGCTATCGTCAGACCACAGATGAGCGGGGGAGCTCAGCACTGACCCAGACCTCCACAGCGTAGCACAAACACACCAGCAGTAGGGGTGACCTGGGATCACAGGACACAGATATTAATAAATAATTAAAGACAAAGTTAGATCAAGGCTGCTCATGGAGCTGGAGTTCAGCTGATTTAACCAGGTGAAGAAGGAAGGTATTTTTAGTTTTGGAGCTAATTCATATATTTCTTAACAAGAGCTGTGGTGTAGAGAGATGACTGCAAATCAAAGTCGTGTATAATACAAAGAGCAGCATGAATAATCCGACTGTCCAGGGTTACACAGAAAAAGTAAACTGGCTTGATATAAGACACATGAGGAAGATCTGCACTAATTTTTATGTACTAAAAAGAGGGCACCTTGCTTCCTTCTGCCAGCTTCCAAGAATTAATACCTAAACTTAGTTTTTTCCAAATTGAATCCCAGACAAGACGTGTATCTTTTAGTCCTATGGTCTTTGGAACACCATCATAACATTTTCTCTCCATATTTGAAAGTAATAGAAAATAAGCAACATATGCAGTCACTTTCTAAACTGTTAATGCAGCAGAAACCAATTTTCTAATAAAATACAAACAATTCCCATGTATACAGGTCAGATAAAAGAGCAAGTATTCTGAGTGAAGTTATCATTGGATCTTGAGCTAGAAGATTTAGATTTAAATCCAGGCTGTGACTCTTGATACTTGTGTAATTTGGGGCAAGTCACCTGTCTTTCTCAAAGTCAATTCTCTTATATAAGTGGTAACTTCAGATAGGTAATGTTTACTTTTTTTCTGTATAATTTTTCTGTCTAATTTCAGTAGGTAATGTACCTACTGCAAGGAAGGCACATTTAAAATTGAATGGGGTAATTAATGATCAACATCTAAAATTATGTTCACTATAGAATTAAAGGAAGTGGTCTTAATAGGAATTGTCTTAATTCCCATGTTAAGTGACTGAAGGTATGCAAGCATCAACTTACTCATGACTGTCTTTTTACAAATTTTGTAAAAGAGAAGAGATTCAAAATAAATTCCAATGGTGGATGACTATTGAAATTTTATTTTATTTTTTTTTCAGTCTGCTTATTTATTATAACCCCACACTAGCAATTCTAAACAATGTCAGTGATAAAATTTTCCCCACTCTTGAGAACCGTAGAATAATCACATGCATTTCATGGTGCCCTTTATTAAAGTAGTGCACATTGTAAAATGTTATAAAATGTAACCTTTTAACTATATTTTTTTCAAAATAATGTGACTTGAGAAATTTGATGATAAGTACCTTAGATTAATTCATCTCCCTTGCCTGATGCTTAAAAACAGGGCATTATTTTACTGAAAAGCTGGAAGAATACAATAATAAATCTGAAAGAGTCATTGTAAGAGCTACAATTTAAGCCATTATTCAATGAACATTTAAAATATATATCAATAGTAATCCCCATAATCATATATTTTTAAAGTAATAATTGAAGTTTTAATTGTACCTGATATTTCAGTAACTAGAAAAACATTCTGAAAGTGTGTCATTTCTAAAGTGATATTTAGAAAGAATGGAGGTTGTCTCACATGTACAACTGGAATACAATTTTTCACATAATTTAGAGAAAAATTACTTATGGATAATAATTGCTTTACAAAGAAAGCCCTTATAAGTAAGTCAGAGGAGTCACTTGAGAAGGAACCCATCCTTCAGTGGATCATCATCTTCTACCACAAAACTTGCTGTGCCTGTGTAGTGGGCTTGTCCAGATACTTCCAGTATAACAGCTTTAAAATCACCACATTTTGCTTCCCTCACAGCCTTTCCTGTGAATACTGAGCCAGTTGCACTGCTTTTAAAGGCTCTGGCCTGGTTCAGTTCCAGAAGGCCTTTGTGATACTGTAAGGCAATTCGGGCTGTCACACCTGAGCCGGTAGGGCTTCTGTCCACCTGTTCATCTGCAAAAACACAAATATTGGTGGTTGGTTCCTCACTATAAGCATCTTTTCCATCTGTTAATATAGTTCCATATAAAAAGGCAAGATCTTCGCTATCAGGATGATGGATTTTATTTTTTTTTATTTATTTTTTTTTTTAGTTTACAGTTGTCTTTTCAAGTAAGTAATATCAGTTTCTTTTTTTTTTTTTAAACTGATAAAAAATTTATTTTTTTTTGTATTCTTTTTTTTTTAATTAATAAATTTTATTTTTATATTCCCCATACAATTGCAATCCCCCCATTCTGACCCCAATCCCTCCCCTCCCGCCCCCCACCCCCCAAAAAGTGTCTCTGGTTCATAGTTTTTGTTGATTTTGATTTTCACTTTCTTATAGTTATTCATTTTCCTGGTCCCTTATTTAAGTTTTCTAGATCCCTGCTATGAGTGAGACCATCCGGTATTTTTCTTTTTCTTTTTGGCTTATTTCACTGAGCATGATCCCTTCCAGCGTCAACTCTACTACAAAGCCACAATCATCAAAACTGCATGGTATTGGAACAAGAACAGACATACAGACCAATGGAATCGAATAGAAAATCCAGAAATAAACCCACAGATTTATGGTCAACTAATCTTTGACAAAGGAGCAAAGACTATGCATTGGAGCAAATAAAGTTTGTTCAATAAATGGTGCTGGGAAAACTGGGTCGCTACATGCAAAAGAATGAAGCTTGACCACTACCTCACACCATATACAAAAATCAACTCAAAATGGATTAAAGAACTAGACATAAGACCTGAAACCATAAAATACATAGAAGGAAATATAGGCGAAACACTACGTGATTTGCATATCAAAGACATCTTTACAGACACATCACCCAAAGCAGTGATAGTGAAGGCAAAGATCAACAGCTGGGACTACATCAAATTAAAGAGCTTCTGTACAGCAAAAGAGACAATAACAAAAACAAAGAGAAACCCCACCAACTGGGAGAACATTTTTGCACACAACACTAATGATAAAGGACTGATCACAAAAATCTGCAAAGAGCTGATGAGACTCAACAACAACAAAGAAAATAATCCAGTCAAAAAATGGACAGAGGAACTAAAAAGAAACTTCTCTGAAGAGGAAATGCGAATGGCCAACAGGCATATGAAAAAATGTTCAACATCACTTGTCATCAGGGAAATGCAAATCAAAACTACCATGAGATACCATCTTACACCAGTGAGAATGCACATACTAAAAAAACTAGCAACAACAAATATTGGCGAGGGTGTGGAGAAAAAGGAACTCTTCTGCACTGTTGGTGGGAGTGCAAACTGGTCCAACCACTATGGAGAGCTGTGTGGAGATTTCTGGACCTACTAAACATAGAGCTTCCACAGGATCCAGCAATTCCACTCCTAGGTATTTACCCAAAGAACACAGAAACATCAATTCCAAAGAACACCTGCACCCCTATGTTTATAGCAGCACTGTTTACAATAGCTAAGCTTTGGAAACAGCCCAAGTGCCCAAAAATAGATGACTGGATCAAGAAGATGTGGTACATATACACCATGGAATATTACTCAGCATTCAAAAAAGGATGATGGATTTTAAACTGAGTTTTCACTGCTTCTGTTACTGCACTTGCTGCATCCACAAGGTCCCTTGTCTTTGCAGAACAAACATCCAGTCCTAACTTTTCAGCACTGAGAAAGGCATAAAATGCACCACCATATGCAATGTCCACTACCACTTTTCCATAGCTGGGAACGTTCACCAGGAGATCCTCGGGCCGGGCGCGGGGGCTCCTCCCGCGGTGGCGGGTCCTGGCTCCGGACGCCCTGCGGGGGGCGCGCTCGCGCGCCCCGGGAACGGGGAGGCCTTTGTCGTCTTCCAGATGCCGCCTCAGCGGCTTTGCTGGACGTGCGCGTTGGGAAGCGCGGAAAGATGGTCGGGACGCGGGGGCTCGTCGCGGCCCACCTGTGGTCGGGGGCGCCGGCCTCCCGGGGTGTGGGGCCCCGACTATTGAAATTTTAAATTAAAAAATTTTTTATCATGGAAAAAGAGAATCATCTTAGATATATTTGGAAAAGAAAGTGATTTAAAAAATAATGGGCCAACTAGATATACAAGAAGGTACTGAAGCCTTGTATGATCAGAATCTGAAAGGCATCAATTTTTATCATTAAGAAGGATGTTTGGGTCATATGACAACATAGGCAGATATTACAATGCTTCTAAATGCTTAGATTTTAAATTTTTCTTTGAGATCTTTATGGGCTAATAGAAAGAAAGTATGTGTATGTGTGTTTATGGGTAGAAGAGATAATAAAGATAGATGTTGTAAACTGTGCTGACATTATAAGAAAAAACAAAATAATATCCTTGAAAATCCTAAATCAATACTCTAGTTCAGAGGCACACAAAAATTTATCAGGGCATTTTCAATGACAAATAACAAAAAGCCAACTCAAATCTTTATGTAAAAAAGAATAAAGAGAGGGAAGAAGGGAGAGCTAATGGACATTATAAAAGGGAAATTAAGGCTGGCGCTAGTTCGAGATTTAGGCAATATAGGCTTGGAGGTTCAAACGATACTGTCAATCTTCCCTCCACTCTCTTCTCTACTTCCCCGTGGTTATCATATGGTTTAGATCTCTCTTCACCATAGTATAAAAATTATTAATTGTTCCAGATGTATATTCTCAAATGTCATAAACCCAAGATCTTGCTCCTTCTCAGTGACTACATCAATAATTTTAAAATGAGCACTGATGACCCTGCTGGGAACACTTGAATGTTTTTTGCTAACTGCTCTAGATTGGGTGTCGTAATTGGCCAGTCTGGATGAGAAGCCCATCACATGGCTAAGAAGTAGGGCCCTGGACTGAAGGCCTTGCTAGCAGCACAGGGAATGGAGGAGGGGTGTTTTTTTAAAAAGGAAGGACACAAGGTCATTACAAAAATAACGAGAGGACTAGAGGTCCACTATTGGTTTTTTAACCAGCTTATAACTTTTATTTTTATAGGCATAAATCTTAAGAAAGAAAAAACATCTCTTCATTGACAGGCATTGGTGTCTTTGCATTTAAGCAGATTGGTGTCTCTTGAACTGTACTATTTCAGTTGGGATGCAAAGTATACTGATAGCAGTCTTGAACAGATGAGACTTGGCTTCTGCTAGGACTTTATCACAAGGTCAAAGTTGAAACAAACCTATGATTTTGAAGTTAGGGTAATCAAACAATCCCTTTGACCCAGAAAGTGTTTCATAGAGAGAACTAAGGTACTGACTCTTCTTTTTTTTTTTTCTTTTTTTCTTTTTTTTCTTACTGTATAGCAGAGAACTGGTCCTGCCCTGAATCAGTAGGACTGAACATATCACAAATGCACAGCAGCTAACCTCATAACATGCCCTGCCTATGAACAGAGATTAACACATTCTGAAATAACCTTTTAAATTAGATTTTAAAACAAATGGGTGTTCAGATGTTTGCAACAATATCCTCTTAGAAAAGTCAAATGCTATTGCAAACTATGAAACTGTTTTAAGTGTCATTGATATAAAGAAAAAATGGATTCTAGGTGTCTTATTCAAAAAGACAATTTATTAGAAGGCTATGGAGAATATCTGAAGAAAACTTAAAACCCATGTAGCCCCAGAGATCTAGGTAGCAGGAAGGAATGAACCATTTTATCAAGCAGCTGCTGCTGAGGTGAATCACTTCTAACAAGTATTTTTGTTCTCGAGTCCCTATATGCTGAGAAGCAACACAGCCTAAGGCAAAAGAGTGTCTGCTTTCACATCAGACAGATCTAGGTTTGAATTTTGTATTGCCATTTAATTACTGGGTCCTTAGTCTTAGAATATTTGCTTCTGCTACAAGACAAGGATAATAATAGCATCTACAAATACCAATTTGCCAAAATCTATTCTGATTTCATTTGATAAAACCAAATTATATTTGTGTGATATGCATGCTTTTGTTGATTCATTCAAACTCCATTATATTTATTAAAGATGCAACCTTGTTCATTACTTTGTCTCTGGTCCTAGTCAACAGAAAAAGCAAAAAAAGTACTCTGAGCTAAATCACTTAGTGTCTAAACTTTACTTGTTCATTGCTGATGTCTTGACTTTTTTGACAAACTATTGAACAAAAATAAATAAATAAGTAGTTGATTCCTTGGGGCCAACAAAGTTTGGTAAATGCTTATTTAACAGTTTGGCAGTTATGAGTAATAAATGAAGGAGAATCCTGAAGTAACGTTTGTACAAAACTTGCTTTGGTTTTGCTTACACAAAATCCCTAGGAACCTGGTTGAAATATGTTTCCCTACTTGATATTTTTTTTTTTCTTTCATCAGAGAGCACGTTCATTTACACTTACCATCTAGGGCTGTTCTGGACTGTTAGGTTACCATTTGATTTATTTTAGTTTTCACTTTATAGTGGAAGAAAAAATGAACCTTTAAGTACTTGGCTCTGGACAAAAGATCTCCCATGATACTATAAATAACATGCCTTTTCAAAATAGACTTGAGAAAGAAAGTTTAGCTGGTTAGGTTTAACCATATTCTAACTTGAGTAGTATACTTTTAAGAGAGTGTGAAGCCATGGATTCATAGAAATACGAAATAAGAAGAAAGAGTTGTTCTCATCTTCTTTTCCATTTTGTCTAAACAAAGGAGATGTGTGAATCAGTATAAGATCTTGGCATATATTATCTCATTAATCATTGACTCATTCATTTGACAAGTGCTTAGTGAATGTCTATTGAGGTATTCTTCCTGGACTTGGGGGATAGTGGTGAAAAACAGATATCCCTGCCCTCATGGAGCTGATTAAAGAATATTGATAATATATAAATGAAGTAAGCCAAAACAACATTTGCAAAATTAGTGATAAGAGCTTAGGAGAAAAACCAAGCAGGAAATTGGGATGTGAACTGTTAGGGATAGATAAGGAAGGCTTCTCAGAGAAGGAGTTTTTTCAGTAAAAACCTGAAAGAAGTGATAGAGTTGACATGTAGATAATTTAGCTAAGAGTATTCTTGGTGGAGGAAATGTCAGGTCTGGTGGCCTTACAGAGGCTGAAGGCCAAGGGCATGGAGCAGCTTAGTGGCCAGTGTGCCTGGGATGCATGAATGAATAGGAGAGTAGGGGGGGTGAAGTCCAATGGTTGACCTGGGGCAGCAGTGTGCCTATGTCATTACCATATTGAAAAATTTAACTTTTACTATCAGTAAGATAAGATTCCAGTGGAGAGATTTCAAGGGAGAATTGACATGATCTAACTTACATTTTTTTCAAATCATTGAGGTTGCTCTGTTTAGAATAGAGCATGTATAAGATAAAAAAGAAAAGTAATACGGGCCTCCCCTGGTGGCACAGCGGTTGAGCGCTGGGCTGTAAAGCTGCCCGCAGCCTCTGCAGCGCCAGTTCGATCCCCGGCTGCTGGGCGAGGGTCCCACATGGCATGCAGACCTCTCATACCGCGCCCACTGCTCCCCTCAGCAGTGTGTTTTGGTCCATCTGCCTGTTCTGTTCCCTGATCTGGTTCTGGTGAATTCTCTAACCCTCCCGCACTTCTGACTGTACCCAGTGCTTGTATAAATAAATAAATCTTTAAAAAAAAAAAGAGTATTAGAAGACTAGTGCAGCAGTCAAGAGCACATCATCTTCCCGTATTCTCTCTCAGAATGTAAATTTTTGCCATGCATCCATCTATCTATCTATCTATCTATCTATCTATCTATCTATCTATCTATCTAACAATTATCTACCTGCCTATCTACCAACCATAATCCTATTTGACTGTCCTCTCTATACTTCATCACTATTATTGATATATTGACCCAAAAGCAAGGAAAGCCAGAGACATAAAAATAATCTGGGGCCTCCCCAGTGGCGCAGCAGTTGAGCACTGGGCTGCGAAGCTGCCCGCAGCCTCTGCAGCGCCAGTTCAATCTCTGGCCACAAGTGAGGGTCACACATGGTGCACAGACCTCTCCTGCCACTCGCTGCTCCCCTCAGCAGTGTATTTCATCAGTCTACCTGTTCTGCTCCCCACTCTGGTGAATTCTCTCACCCTCCCACACTTCTGACTGTACCCAGTGCTTGTATAAATAAATAACTCTTTAAAAAAAAAATCTAACCAAATAGAGCTAAAGAGTTAAAGGTCTGTCAGACTACCTCTAGGATAATTCCATTATGAGAAAAATTAGTAATAAAAAAAGGACAGGTTTAGCCATTGCTGGGTAAGATCTAGGAAAACATTTAGAAGATTAGGTCTTAGACAATGAATTCCTAAAGATTATGCCAAAAATGCTGAACTACATTAAAGCTCAAGAGACTGTCTAGTTCTGCTACCCCTTTTCATGGATAAAGGCAAATCAGTTGTCATGTCTGACATAAATATAGCATCATGTATTTGGTGTTTCTGTTGTCTTACCAGCTTGACTTTCAGCCTCACTGCTAAGAAGTTACCATGGAATGGGAAAATGAGAGCATTTGCTGTCCTATGTTAGTTCTGCTGGAATGAGATAACCCAGGTAGCACATCCTTAGATCACACTCTGTGAAGTTGCCATTTCCCCAGAGGGTTGGAACTTCCCAGGAAATGGATTATAACAATATCTATAAGGTGATACATTTTAAATACATCTACATGAGCCAGAATTGAAGCTTATAAGCATGTATAAACATTTAATCAATAAAATAATATTGATTAATCACTCCTGTTAGGATGCCTATAGTGTTCCTAGTTTAATATTGATACATTATGCAAAAGTTACAGTTATTGTTCTGCTAGAGTAACAAAGTAATACATTTTGCATAGCTTGTAAATCTTCAAATTAGATGGGACAGTTATAGAACAATGAAAGTCAAGCAGATGATGAAAATGAAGCAATAGGGGGTTATAAGAATAAGATACACCTGTCTAGTTGAAAGAGATGGTGGTTATGAGTTCTATACAATTGTCTCTAAGTGGAACTGTAACTCAAAGATGCTAGATGTTCT